TACGTTTTTAATTAAGTGTGTAATAACTTTTTTTTTTTTAAACCCCCAATTTCAATTACTTCACCTTTTTTATATATTTTCATGCTTTTTTTCCCTATTCATGATTTCTGGGTGCGTCGTGTGTGGCATTTATATTTACCCAATTTGCAAATAGGGTTTGGTTTTTGCTTAGAGGCTTCACCTTCCCCCTCCTTCGAATGGAAAAAATTAATAGATGAAGCTGCTGAGTTTTTAAAATCGATAAAAATTTCACCTTTTCCTCTCAACTTCTGCTAATGTGATCTACTCGTCGAAGTGAAAGCGAAGCTGAGTTTGAAAGGAAAAGGAGCACAGAGGAGCAGGAGCCAGAATCGAGTGGGTCTCCGATCGGAGGACAAAGGGAGCACTCATTCCTTCGTCCACCTTCACCGTGAACCACCAACAGACCGTCAACCACCTTCGCCGTTCATCGGAGCCACCTGTAGAGCAGTGAGTTTCTTTCGCAGAAGAATCACAGGTACTGCTCACTTTGAGATGTTACTCTTCTTGAGTTTGAAGTTGAAAAGTAATTTGCTTTATATATTTTTCTTCCTAGATCTACAAGTATATGTAACAATCATTTTTGTGTATTTTCAAAATATTTTTTGTGTGTGGACTGGATCTTGTTTGATTTTGAATTAGTAAACATAATTATTTTTCCTTAGGTGCTATATTTGTTTTCCGATTTCGTTTAAAATTTATGTGTATCACATAAAGTACATTCTTGATTAAAATACTTTATTTATGGTTATGGTATCAATTTCATGAATCAAATTTTTGGGCTGTAGCTTTAATGGGAACTGTAAGAATCAAAATAAGGATCAAATTTTTGGGCTAGAGCTTTAATGGGAACTGTAGCTTTAATCTAAACTCAAAATTGGAATATTCAATCTCCATGCGTATACAATTCCATAATGATTTAGGAGATTTTTGTGTATACTGGAATGGCCTAAGAGGAATATGACTTAGTTAGATGCAGCGTTTATCTATTTAAGTTCTGGTGGTGTAGTGAATGGCTTAGTACTGTTCCAAATTGAAGCATAAGGATTATTTTTGTTGCCCTTTATTTTATTGTGGTTTTTGGTGCTGATAGATAATATTCTAGTGTGGTGCCATTTTAAGTTTGAGACTCCTGAACTAGATGGAATTATATAGTTGGGAGTGCGTTTCTGTTTTATTTCTGTATGTGACTTTTATTTAGACAACTTCATATTTCCTTGCATTTCGTTTATGTTATGTGCCCTTTGGTAATCAACCATGTATCTTCCCCCAACATATATGATTATATAAATTAAATTATTTTAGTTTTGGTAATCATTCTTTTAATATAGGATGACAAATTATGAAGCCCATCACTTCATTTTAAGCTATCTTTTATGAAATGTAGTATGTAAGAGCCTTTCTTTATGTATTGTAGATAAATCAAAACATCCTCCAGAAGTAGCAATATACCTTTATTCCTCAAAAGAAAGTATCAACTAGCATTCTGAGTTCTCAACCGTTATTTATGTATTGCATTATTTATATGCATATTAATCAATTTCTCGAGACAAAGAAGTTTTATACTAAAATTTTGCAGACCCTTTCTCATTATGATTTCATGATGGAAAAAAACGAAAACAAAAATCAACATCGTGTGCCATATAGTTTTAGATGTGCAGCGGTCAAAGCCATATTCTCTTCTTCATAAGCTTTAGGGATAAAAGGTATAGACCCAATCTTAAAAGAATCACGGGACTGATCTTAAATCAAACGTAGTTAACTGAGGCTATCTTTTGTGACTTTGTCTGAATCATTACCTTGTTGCCCATGTGACTACCGTCTTTCCCATTAAACTTTAATAATGTCATCTGTTTACTGTGATTGCAGGATTATACCTCTACACAGTTACAGAGCGTAAGCTTTTGGTGGACACTTCAAGAGGAGAAACATTACACATCAATGTAAATTTTTATTGTTCAAAATGCATGTAATGTGGAATTGTAATCTGCATAGGAATTTTGTATTGATAACAAATTAAGTTTGTTATAAGTTAGAACCAATTATCTCATCCTGGTGGTGACATTTTGTACCAAACAGTCCTATGTGTATCTCAAACAGAATATTACTTATACTATCCATGAATTAAATAGGTATATACTCTTTCTATAGGTGGTGACATTTTATAGGTGTATTCTATTTTATTTTATCTTTTCATCTTTCTCACTCTATAATTAAAACTCTATAATTAAAATAAAATTTTATACTCTTTCTTGAATTTGAAATTAATTCACAGTTTTGTCTCTCTCTATGTTTCTTTGATTTTTAGTTTATTTATTTATTTATTTTTGCGAATTGTTGGTTTTGTTTTTGAAAATATTTTTGTTGGTTAGAGAATATAATCTCCTTTTGGTTTGTGAACTTGTACAGATGATGGTTCTCACCGTGTCCCCGACATTGTTCTCCAAGGATGGCCCCTGGGTAGGCTATTTTTTTTTTAATTTTCTTTTATGAATGTTTATTATGATATGCATGAATGTTTATTTTCCCAGTAAGTGCCTACTAAAATTCTGCAGTTTTTCTTCACTTTAGAGTTTTGATAAGGTACAAATTATTCATTTATTTAGCTATTTATTTATTTGCTGGTTTCCAGATTAGCATCTATGTCTCTTGTTAGGAAACCATATGATCTATGTTAGCTGGTTTGTATTCATTGCCATAGGTTTGTGCTCTCTAATATTACTAGTTTTTGTTATTGTCTTTATTCTTAACCTTATAGCCATATCATTTATTTGTTCTTTTTATATCTTTTGGAGGAAGGTGAGGAAAGAAAGAATCATGGTACCTTGAGATCAAACCTTGAACTTCCCGTACAGGTTGTTAGACAATTCTGGTTAAGATAATTTTTAGTGAGGTAAATTTAATATCATTATTTTCTTACACTGATTTTTGTTTGTTTTTATACATGTGAATAATTATGGAGTCTGCAAATAAGACTGTCAATGTGGATGATGATGTTGTTTTTGAAACTCTTCCTTTTAGTGTCTGGGTTTCGGTGTTGTGACTATAGTTGTTATTTTAAATTAGTGAATAGTAATATTTTTTTAAATTATTCTATTTGTCTTATCCTAACATTGACATGTGTTGCGTGATTAATTATCTGTACTTTAATCAGTATTTTATAATAATTAGTGATGGAAGCTGACGATTCATCTGCGAGACGTCTTCACCCTGGTCCTCGCATCAATACGGTATTGCACATGCAATCTACACACCGATCAGAGGTTGTCTGGATGGACGAACAGGATTATAAATCTCTGAATGTCAGAAGTGGACGACTGGCGGGGTTGGATGTTATTCCAGAGCCCATTGTACCTTATTTACGTCATGCCGGTTTTCTTGGCGCTGCTCGGATGGGCCGTATGGAGGTATTTGTGTGCTAAATATATTAAATTATACATAAGTCTTGAAACATACATAATTTTGTACATTTTGTTTATTACTATAAATAAGCGATCACAGAGATGAAAAAAGTAAGATAAGGTTGGGGGATCAACGGTAGGGGATATGCCACTTGGGGCCTGCTGTCAGAGTTCCAAGGGGGGGCCGCGCGGCACTCTAAAATGGATATAAAAAAATACAATATTAGTTTAAGCGGGGATGGCCGGCACTTTATAAAAAATAACAATAACAAAATAGTATCAATTCCGTTGGGGGGTGTGGGCGGCACTCATAAAATATTATTATTGAGTGCCGATGGGGGCTGCGGGCGGCACTATGTCCGAAAAAAAATAAAAAAATTCACACAAAAGTGCCGCTGGGAGGGGGGGCGTCATTTAGAGTCTCTGGGTACCCCCCACGGCACTCAAAGACCCCAAACCGTAATTTATCTCTACCGAATACCAATGTCGTAATTTTAAATAATAAAAACACCGTACCCGTCAAACACCCGTATTTTAGATTTTATTTTGTGATATTTAGTATCATATCATTGTGACTAACATTTTACTTAATGTAATATAATCCACTTCAAAATATTTGACATTTTGTAGAGGGGAAGGATCCGTTTACAAATTTTTTTTATAAATTTTTGCAAATTACATCATGTACTTCCGGGAGACCATAATGTAACCTAGTGTTCTCCTCGGAGAACATAGTGTAGTTTGTAAACAAAAAATTTGTAAATATAACCCTCTCATTTTTTAAAAGATAAAATTTGAGTGTATTTTAAATTTTATTAATTATCACATTTTTATCATAAACTTTCCTTTATTTCTTATATTGTTTTAGTTATAATAATTTATTCATCATTAAGATATTACGTAATCAGTTAATGTTATTATTATTTTTTATCTTTTTACACTCTCCTTTTTTTTATTATAGAAATTTGACACTCTCCGTGACTTTAGCTTTAACTTAATTTTAAGGTACTTTTATCGCTAACTTTATCTTTAGACTTATTATTATTTAATTAATTGATGAGTTTCCTAATAATATTATTTCTTTTATTTATTATATTGATTTTACTGCAATCATTTATTCATCTTTAGAATTGTATACTTATAATTGATTGTAATTATTATTATTTTCTTTCCCTTAATGAGTTAAGCTTATCTTTTCTTAACCGTAAATGTTTTATCTTTTGAAATTTTCCGTAATTTTAGGGGGAAAGCTATCATCATATATTTATATCTTTAGTTTTAACTAAATTATTGCATATTTTTATCATTAACTTTATCTTTAACCTTGTTAATTTAAATAGAAAATGTCAAACGATGTCTTCATTATATCAAAATAATGTAACGATGTTTTAATTGTATATTTAAATAATTTAGAATATCGTAAAAGATCTTTTGAGATTGGTTTATATATTTTCGTATTCTGTTATTTATTTTCTTTTTTAAAAGATTCTATTATCTACAAAAATCTTCTTTTGAGATTGGGTTTGTCCATCATATGCATAAACAACCCCTGTTATTCATCTTTTTTCTTCTACTAAAAATATGGAGCACCGAAAATGTCTAGAGAGCAAAAAGCAATTTAGAAACCAGAGTTCTACGGAAGTGTTTAGAGAGATTACACGTGGGCCTCGTTTTTTTCTTGAGTCTTCCAATGATCGCAACACCGGGACTATTGAATCTCCCAAGGTACGTCATGTATTTGATTATTTTGTGGTCATAGACTTTGAGGTTACCTGCGACAAGGGCAAAATTCCTCACCCTCAAGAGATAATTGAGTTTCCATCAGTCATAATGAGTGGTGTCACTGGTGAAATAGAATCATGTTTTCGGACATATGTGAGGCCTACCCACAATCAAATTCTGACTGATTTCTGCAAGGATCTGGCTGGTATACAACAAGATCAGGTGGACAATGGAGTTACATTGGAAGAGGCTCTACTCATGCATGATGAATGGCTTGAAATCAATGGGATATAAAGAACTCCAACTTTGCTGTTGTCACGTGGTCTAACTACGATTGTGAGGTAATGCTTGAATCTGAGTGCAAATTCAAGAAGATACCAAAGCCTGCTTATTTCAATAGGTGGATTGACTTAAGGGTTCCTTTCCATGAGGTGTTTGGTGATATGAGGTGCAAATTAAAGAAAGCTGTTGAGATAGCTGGATTGGAATGGGAGGGTCGTGCTCATTCTGGACTTGATGATGCCAAAAACACTGCTCGATTGTTGGCATTGGTTATGCACAAGGGTTATAAGTTTTCTATTGCCAATTCTTTGCCGTGGAAGCAGTCTAAAGAACAAATAAGAGTTTTTCCTTAAAGCAAGTACAATGTGATGATTATTTCCATTATTCAATATCCTCCCCCTCCCTCTTACTTTCACCGTGGGGTTATGACACATACCCTTGTAGTTCTGTTTAATAGAATATTTTGAAATATATTGTAAAGACTATGTTGTCTACTACGATTTTCCCTCTAGTGTATTCTGACATTGAAATTGCAGTTGACTCTCAGGTTTTAAGAACTTAGATATATGTTTCGCATGAATTTTGACACATTTTTACCCATTCTTCGTGAAAAAAAAAACTTATTGTTTATCTTATATTCGTTTATCACCGTTGTAATTATATCATATCGATCAAATAATGAAAGCAATTCGTAATTAACGAAAAGTCTTCTCTAATTACCTTTAACATTAAATGATCTTTCAGTTACTTTATATATATATATATATAGATATATTTCCATCGGTTACTTTAATTACTTCATCAATAACTTTATTTTAAAATCTTGATCATTCATAAATAACCACCCAAACAATAAAGGTGAGTGGGATCTGCGGATCTGGGATGGTTAGAATTTACAAAAGCATATGGAAGAGGTAATTTTTTTTATTGGGATGGATAGGGTTTCAACTTGCTATTCATTCACCAAACCGGTCAATTTGAATTTTGAGGAATTAGATTTCCCAATTTTGTCTCAGCGCACAAAAAGGGTTTCCATCATCTCCTTCAAGTTAAATGTCGACCAATTCGAACATGGGAGACTCCTTCTATGGTTATGCGTTAATTTGATTAATTTTTTAAATGATTAATACAATAAAGAATGAATAATCTTATGTCAAGACATGATCTTGTCACGCGAAAAATCTCAAGTATTTATTCATAATTCAATCATCACAAATTTAACTATAGAGTCATCGTTCAATGAATAAAAGTTACTCTCAGTTGCAATAATTATGAGAGTTTGGGTATAAGAATTTAATGAAACATTTAATAAATGATTTGAAAATTTTGATCTAAACCAATGAATTAATTCTGAATTTATGATCCGTTTAGGATAATCTATTTTAAAATATATTTGACTTTTTTTAAAAGATAAAATTTGAATGTTATTTGAATTTTATTAATTATCAAATTTCCTGTATTGAATTTTCCTTTATTTATTATATTAATTTACTTATAATCATTTATTCATCTTTAGGATTTTACATTAATTTATTGAAAGCAGTCAATCTAATATTTCTTTAATTTTAATTTATTCATCTTCTGAAACACTTCTTAATTTTTGGGGATAACTTTTATTTCTTTCTATATCTTTAGCTTTATCTTACTCTTAGGATATGTTTATCTTTAGCCTTATAATTTTATTTTATTTTTTTGAAAAAAATTCTATCAATGTGGAGTCTATCACCAATAATTGATAAAGACATTGTTGCTCCTCGGTTTTGTGGTGATAATTTATGTATCGGTAATACTTTTCTTTTCTTATGTTACATAAGAAAAGTATTATCTCCTATTCTCACATTTTTCAAATGGGTCTGTTTGGTCCTGGATAGACCGTATTACTATACCGAAAGGTATGCGCTCAGAGATACTGTATATTCAGATATATACTAGGCTTATAGCTGATGTCCCAATCACTGTGCACAAGCAATAGACTTAGAGCCAAGGGGTGGGTGTGTGCACAATGTGGGCAATATTCGTAAATAGGTTCAAAGTGTGTACCTGAGGTCCTTAGACTCTTATTTATAAGGATTACCTTTCTAAGCTTGGGCCTTTTGAGCTTCCCAAATTGCATTAGGGTTCAGCCCCCTTTCTGTTGGGGTGTGACCCTTATCTTGTGTATTTTGACTGTTTAATGTTGTTGAGATACTTATGAATCTATCTCTTAATAGATTCTTAGGTGAGTGGTTGGGATATGATATTCATATCCATAACAGGGTCCTACAAGAATTTTTTTCTCTCACCTCCAATTTCTTTCTCTCTCCTATTTATTGTTTGAGTAGGAGATAATATTTCTCTTATGCAACATAAGAAAAGTATTACCCTTTATGTATATCCCTTTTCTTTTTTTACTCGGAAAATATACTTCATCAATTTTCCTTTTCCAATAAACACTCAATTTTCTTTTTAAATTTTTGATAACGTTGTATTAATTTTGTAAAAGGTTTTATTTGATCTTTTTTAAAGATTTTTTTTTTTGTAAACTTAAAGAAAAATAAAAAGTGTCACCGTTTTAAAAAAAATTCACCAAATTCTTTCATATTTATAAATTTGGTAATAGCTTTATATTTTAATGGATTGATTTAGTTAAATTTTTTGAAGTGACTAGAATAATGGGAAATGGATAATCTCATGTATTTTTTAATATAATTGTGTAATGTGAAAATTTCAATCATTCATTAATTATTCAATAATCACAATTTTAATGATGGGTTCATAAGAGAAAATAAAAGAATTGGGATGAAAATTACTCTAAGATAACAAGTTGAGACTTCAATTATTCTTTTTTGTTTGACTTCAATCGCTTTGTTTTATTTATAAGAGAATGTAGAGATATTCTTTGAATAATTCACCGTATAGCATTTAATTGATGATTCCAAAATTTTGATCTAAATCAAATTGATGACGCATTTAGCATAAACCACTTCAATATATTTGACATTTTTCAAAAGATAAGATTTGAATGTGTTTTGAATTTAATTAATTGTTGAGTTGCCTATGATAATCTTTACTTTATTTATTATATTAATTTAATTATAATTATTTATTCACGTTTAATATTTTATGCTAATTGATTATAATTAATCTTGTCTTTCTTTCCTTTAATCAGTACATATTAAAATTCAAGAAATATAAAATGCTCTGTTGCTTAAATGTTTAGGAATAGTATAAAACTTATTTGACAGATATAGAACTATTGAAGAAATAATTGAAATTGAATCTATCTATAAAATTTGACATTAACGAGAAAGATAATAGAAAAAATATAACGTTAATTAAATAGATCCAAATAATAGTGAAAAGAATAATTGTATTTATCAAATGAAACGGAATTCAAAATTCATATGTCACGACAAATAGTCAAATAGCTGATAAATTTCTGTGTTGGTGTTTTTTAGATTTTATTTTGTGATATTTAGTATCATATCATTTTGACTAATTTTTTACTTATTTTTAAAAGAGAGAGTTTTCTTTAAAAAATAAAAAATATATGAAAAATTATAAAAATATTATATCCTTTTAAAATATTAATATATTAGTTTTCTTAATTACTTAATGAATAAAAATTTTTAAAAGGCATATGCATTTAATATCTTTCAGATTTTGAAAGTTACCTTTTAATATTTTATTTAAATTTATAATATTATTTTATATTTTAATAATTCAGTATATTTAAAAATTTAACTAAATATATTAAATTTATAATTAATTTTTTTTCTTGTTAAAATTGAAAATGATATATTCATAAATAATTCTCACTGTTATATTTTTTTATTTAATTCATGGATTCCATTTATCTCTTTACTACAATTTAATTTAGATACACCTTGTTGTATAGGAGGGCTTTTTGACCATGGTAGCTTTTAACTAATAAAAAATTACCATCTTACCCTCGTTTATAAACTATTTTAAAAATTTAACTTTCTCAACAAAACATAACACTAATTTGATCATTGACCACCCAGTTACCCGAGTAGAAAATTATTTATCCGGATACAGACCCGATTACCCTGGTACATGTCCTTATTTACCCTGGTACATATATGAATGTACAATCCAATGGCTATTTCACATAACCAAATTACAGAAAAATCCGTGTTAACCCCATCATTTTGAAAATTTTAAAAATTATATTTTATATCTTAACCGGTTAATATTAAAGCTTTTAATTTTTATAAAAATTTCGTCTTACTTCACATTAATTTTAAAATATATATATAATTTCACTCTTATTCACAAAAAATTATGGATATGCAATGATATCTTTATGCCTTATAGACGAGGGACTTAATGTGCATACCTCACTAACACTCGCTCTAGGTAAAGGGGATGTTTTCTTGACAAATTTTCCATACAAATTACAAACACGTTTAACCACGTTTTCTTCGTTAATGGATTTGAGTTGGATTCATGGTTGTGCTTTGAAAATAAGGATATGTATGATATGAGAGTAACTGGGTGTGTACCAGGGTAAATAAAGACATGTACCGGGGTAACCAGGTGTGTACCAGGGTAAATAAGGACATGTACCTGGGTAACTGGGTGTGTACCGGGATAAATAAAGATATGTACCAGGGTAACCGGGTCTGTACCCGAGTAAATAAAGATATGTACCAGGGTAACCGAGTCTGTACCCGAGTAAATAATTTTCTACCTGGGGAACCAGGCAGTCTACCCAGGTAACTGGATGGTCAACGGTCAAACATGGATAGATTGATGTTATGTTTGTTGAGAATGTTAAATTTTTGAAATAGTTTATAAACAAGGGCAAAATGATAATTTTTTAGTTAAAGACTACAATGGTCAAAAAGTCATGGAACAAGTCTCACATAACAAACGTCGGAAACACTTCTAGTGCCCGTTTGGACGAGCTTTTATCCCTATAAAGATTGCTTTTTTTAAAAAAAATTGAATTTTCAAATGTTCGGATAATAACTTTTAAAAATGTAAAATTTAAAATAAAATTTAAAATG